TGGCCTACATTGTCTGTATCATTAACCTTACAAATGCTGCATTGCTTTGGGCATGTTTAGTGTGCTTGAAGTTAGAACAAGCTATGAGTGCTATGTGCACTGCACTAGATCTATTGCAGGCACAGCTTTCATCCCCGTTCCCCACCACTCTATCTCAAAACAACCAACTTGTTCCTTTTAATATTCAAAGTCTCTTCATGGGAGCAATTATCAAATAAAAATATGACACAAACTACATATTAGGACAAGTGACCAAATGTTTGGTCAAAGATTTTGGTCACAGAGATCAGTTTTAAGGAGCGTCTTAAAGTGTGAGGAAGGTGAAAAGGTTTCAGCAGAGAATTACAGAGGTCAGAACCCAGGCAGCTGAAGCAAGGAACAGTTACTAATGCCTGAGCAATCAAAATTAAGGATGCACAGGAGGGCAGAATGGATGACTATATGTCAAAAGCACTATATAAATCCAAGTTATTGCTGTTTCTTTCATATGTGGAATGTCATGAATTAAAATCTTGTAAACATACTTAATTTTCTTTAAAGTTGGTTTGGTTACACTATCACAGTCATTGAAGAGGTAAAATATGTAAACCATTGGAGACATTTGTGCACCTTGATGTGAGGATGCTGATTTTGTGACTTCATAAAATATTTAAAGGCAAGCTACATTGTGAAACTTATGCTGATTTTTAAACCAAAAACTGTCAAACATCACAATCAATCACACTTAGTTCAGTTTTCAGTGTTCGGTTTTCAGTGTTTGGTGTATTTGTTGAAATCACGAACTGCACTGTTATTGCTATGTTGTAAAATATTTATTTTAATATTTTAAAAGCACTCTTAGCGGTTTTCAGCTCCACGCTATTATAGGAGATTGAAGCTTTATAGTGTACAGCAAAGATCCACAGGATGAGGATGCACAAATACCAAGAAAAACTTGATAAATTCAGATTTTTTCATTAGGAACAAGTCAGATTATGCAATGATGTGTTAGAAGTGTTTACAATTATGAAGGAGTGGATTGGGAGAACGATTTTGACTGGACCCAATGGTCAAAGGGTTTAGAACAAAGTGCCATGGATGGAAAATTATCTGTAAGAAATTTGTAACAGTTCACTTTGTGGAATTCTGTTGCAGAATGCGTGGTTGAGGCAAGTTATGATAACCTGCAAGATTAGATTGGGTGAAGAAGAGGTACATAGTGGGTAATTGGGACTGTTTGTAAGTGTGGAGGGTAAACGTAACACAGATTGATGGAGCTGAATGGCATCCCTTCGTGTTGTACCTTGTCTGTATTTTTTATGTATTTTTGCCAACACAGGGGGACTTCAGAAATTTTGACCTCTACGACTGACTTATTTCCACCTGTTTTTTTTTTCACTTTTGGTGGCTTCCTGCCCTATAGCCGTTTTCCACTCTGGTAGATATCTTGACAGAAAATTTGATTAAATTCTGATATTTCCCAATAATTAACTGCACCATGATTATGTTGTGGCCATTTCTGCCCTGAACTGGGGAGGGTGGGGTGGGGTGTTGGGGAATGAGAGCTGTTGTTGGCCAAAGGATGATAATACCAAGTGTGGAACATTAAACAGGAGGAGGCTATTCAGCCCAACAAGACCAACACATCATTCAACTAGATCACAGCAGATGCATATCCTGATTCTTTCTACTCTCTTTGGTTCAGTAACCTTTAATGTTTTTATCCAACAAATACTGTGATAATCTTCTAATTGTAACCTTTTCTAATCCAGAGGAGAAACAGTCACAATTGGTGTCTTTTGACAGTCCCTCCGTGTCACAATAATAGCTTATATTTATACGGCACCTTTAAGGTAATAAAACGTCCCAATTGTAAAACAGAATATGACACTAAGCAATGAAAGGAGATATTATGTTAGATGACAAAGATCTCTGTCAAAAATGTAACTTTTAAAGAATGTCTTGAGGCAGAAAAGTGAGGTGGAGAGGTTAAGGGAGGGAATTCTAGTGCTCAAGACCGTGAGCAACTGAGCTATGGCCAACAGTGGTCGAGCAGTTCAAATCCATATGTTCAAGGGGTCAGAGTTAGATGACTGCAGAGATCTGCAAAACTGAAACTGTGTGTGCAATCAGGAGATGAAGAATTTGGTTTGGTTGTAATTAAGTGTCTGTTGTCATTCATTGTCTAAGTACACATACAACAATTGGGAAGGGCTCTTGTGGAGCAGTGGTGGAGACCCTACCTCTGCACCAGAAGATCCGTGTTCAAGTCCCACCTGCCCTGGATCTGTGCAATAGCATATCTGGACAACGTTATTAAAAAGCATTTGTGAAGATTGACTTAAAGGGTGACTGACAGCTGTTGAATTGTATTTGATAGTTAGCACCTTCAAGAGAAAAGGTGGGATATCATTTCCTTTCTTGCATTTATAGAGCCATAGAGCTATACAGCACGAAACAGACCCTTCAGGCGAACTCATCAGTGCTGACCAGATATCCTAAACTGGACTAGTCTCATTTGCCAGCATTTGGCCCATATTCCTCTAAACCCTTCCTATTCATGTACCCATCCAGATGCCTTTTAAATGTTGTATTTGTACCCACTTCCACCACTCCTTTTTACAGCTCATTCCATACACGCATCACTTCCTGTGCGAAAAAGTTGCCCCTTGAAGTGCTCTTTAAATCTTTCCCTTTTCACCTTAAACCTATGTCCTCTAGTTTTGGACTCCCTCACCATAGGAAAAAGACTTTGGCTATTCACCCTATCCATGCCCCTCATGATTTCATAAAGCTCTATAAGGTCACCCTTCAGCCTCTGTGCCCCAGGGGAAAAAAGCTGCAACCTATTCAGCCTCTCCCTACAGCTCAAACCCTCTAATCCCAACAATATCCTTGTAAGTCTCTGTTGCAATTTTTCTGAGCTCAAGGTCACCCAAAGCACTTTGCAGCCGAATAAGTACATTTAAAGCACGGACACTGCTGCAATATCGAAACACTGCAGCCAATTTGCACACAGTAAGCTCCTCCAAGTAGCAACAAGTAATGGTGTGATAATCTGTTTTAGCTATATGAGCTAAGCGATAAATGTTAACCCAGGATTCTCTTCTTTGAAACGGTGTCTTAAGAGGACTTTCAGGGCCCCTGTTTAACATCTCATCTGAAAACATGCAGCTCAAATGATGCACTGCTCTGAGGACTGGGCTGGCGAATGTCAGTGTGGATTAAGAGCTCCAGTCTCTGGGTTGGAACTTGAATCCCCAACCTCCTGATTCAGACACAAGAATGTAATACTGAACCAGGAGAGAGATCAATGAGAGGCAAATACGTTGCACACAGTGTGCAAGAGTGAATAAGATAAACCAGGGTTACATGAACACCCAGAGTTATGTAATTATTTGATGATCCCTCAAATTGGAGAGAAAGAACTCTCCACATGGCTTAGTGCCAACTTGACTCAGATTTTTAACTGTTTTTAACTCCTTTGCCTCCATCCCCATTTCCTTGTTATTTGTTTTTTTCACAAATGTTTAGGTTTTGGTTTCCGTCTAAATTAGCATTCATTTTACTGCAATAAAGAAAGAAATGGCCATGATATGCAAACGAGTTAATTCTTGAAATGTGATGACACTGCTCAGAATATAACTGAAAAGTTTTGACAGTTTCCAAAATGTCACCCATCTTGGCCCGTCCTTTAGCTTGTCTACTGCAGGAATCCTCACCCATGTCGTATAGTCATAAAGCACAAAAACAGAGGTCATTACCTCCAGATTTGATCATTCAAGTGCTCTCTTGGCTGGACTCCCAGCTTGCACCCTCTGGAAACATGAAGTCATATAAAACTCTGTTGACCATATAAAACACCAAGTGTCATTCATCTTACCACTCCTAACCTAACAAGCGGGTAGAGACATGATTTAACTAAAGGCTGCACATCTGATCATCCAGCACTGGCAATGCAAGTAGTAGCCTGGATTTTGGATTCAAACCCTAAGCTCAAGTCTCTGGAGTGGGACTTGAACTCACAACCTTTTGAGGTAGAAGTATGAGTGCTACCCCTTGAGCTATAGCTGACAAATGAACAACGGAGTGACCCATCCAGGAACACTCCTTCACTTTTGCTTGCCTATCCTGATCTTGCCCAAACTCTTACCTGATCACATCTTTAACATTTCAATGCCAGTGTCATGAATCTGATAAAGATGTAAGTGATCATTACCATTCAGCTAGTATTACTGTTGCACAATTATGATTACATCGCTCTGCCCAGCAAATTGTTGGAGTTTGCTGTTTGTGAAGTACCACGCACAGAGGCCCTCTGCCCATTCCCTCCCGATAAAAATGTATCCTTCAAAATCGCTCAGCTGCTAATGAAACTGGTTGTGCAAGTGAGCCATACAGAGCCAGTGAAGGTCAGAATTTCACCCCTAGTTTGGGCTGAGTTAACTGATTTAATAAGACAATACAATTGACTTCTGGGAGGAAGGGAAAGGTCAGCAGAAGAATGCCACTGATTATTATTATCTAGCAATCCCCTGGTGACAGGTATGTGAGTGGCAGTGTTGGATTTGGTTGTGCAACACCACATGGTTGAATAGCTTGCTGATGCTCACCTACACTCGCTGATCATGACAAATGAGCGTTTGGGAAAGAAAACAACACCAATGAAATCCTGTCCAGCAAAGTGAATACTTTCATAAAGGCAGATAAGATTGGGCAAAAAATGATTGATGCTGAGGCATATCTCTGGCCCTTAACATAGTGAGCATGTGAAACTGGAAATAAGCCTTCTGCAAGGTGACGTGGACTTGATGAAACCTTACAATCTTAACAATGGTGGAGGAGGAAACTCCAAGCAGGACAAGAATGTGAAAAGGAGAAGGGCCAACAGTGGTCTGGTTCACTGGTCAGAGAACCAGCAGGAAAGCCCAGTCAGTTTTGCAGGGCAGTGAAGCTGTGGGAGTGGGATAGTGACAGTTTTGAGAGACATTGGAGATGATCAGCAAAATTAAATATCGTACCAGTCCACTGGTCGCTCATCCCTCTGTATTCACGCTTATCCTTTGGCGTGCGTTTGTAAGCCAGGTTGTTGCGGTTCTTCCATCGGCACAGCCAGCCGTTGGTGGGTTTGAACTCGATCCCCATTTCCTCAGCAAGGGCCTTGGCTTTGGCCATGAGCACCGGCCCTGAAATCGGGCCTTTCTCCTTGCTGGCTGTCCAGAACCAGCTGAGCAGGGCGTCGTCAATGGTCTGGTTCTTCCCTTCACGCTTACGCTTGCGTTCCAGGTTCCCACCACGCAGCCATTCTTCCAGAATCTCCTCTTTCTTCTTGACAATTTTGGAGATGGCTGAAGCGGTCAGGCCATACTCCCGGGCAATCTCCTTCTGTTTGAAGGAGGGATCGTTCAACTTCAAGATGATCTGGACTTTCTGAGCCAGGGTGATGGCAGTCCTTTTGATTTTGATCGGGTTCTCCATATGAGCACTGCAACAGCACAGAAACAGCAGAGAGTACAATTGTGTGTTTATACAAAGAGAGTCTCTAAACTCGAAACCATAATCCACGTTTTTGTTTTAAATGCCTGACAGGCAGTGCTGTTACACTGGAATAATTTTTGTTGTGTTGAGGTAGGCGTCAGGCAGCACTTATAGCACAGGCATAATGGAAGCTAACAGGCTCCATTGTGGCTGCTTGCAGAATGTAGAGAGGGAATGTGCTTCTCAGGCTTTGCTGCTGCACAGACCAGGAACAAAGAGGTCTGTGAAACGTGAAGTTGATGCTGAGCAGGCTTTAGGGATGTGCTTTGTGATGTAAAATAAGTGATCTCATCTGAAATTCGACACCACAACCCAGCCCTGATAAGATCATCTGCAATTTGCTGACGCGTACTTATGATCCTAGGCATACATTGATCTTATCAGGCACCAGCAATGCAAAGGAAAACAGCTCGCCATTTCTTCTGTGAAAAATTTAAAAAGAGAGGAGAAAAATGTGCACTAAAGTTGATCCTGTGTAGCAGCTTATCTCCAACTGGCTGTCAGGGTATTATAGTCAGAGAACAGGGGGAATATTTTAAAAAGGCCTTAACTATCACAGTACTGAATGATTAGCCATGTTAAATATTAATTAAAATCAAAAAATTGTAAAGGACTCAAATACATTCATGACCAAACTGAATATTTTAAAAAATCATTGGATTATAATAAGGAATGGGAATGGTTTGCTTTACAAAATGTGAAATTGACAGTGAGTAACAACAGAGAGGGAGAGAAAGGAGTCGACACTCAGAAAACAGAAATATGCATACAATATAGTGAACTGAGAAGTACACACGGGAAAGAGACGATTGGAAACATAAATATAAAGGGAAACAAAAAATAAGAGAGACATGCAGAAATACAAGAAGAGAATTACATACAGACATAGAAACAGTATAGATAAACCAAAGAAATGCACCTATATACACAGGCAAACCTACACAGACACAGACATAACACAAGAGAAAATGACAAAAAGCCACTGAGAGAAACTGAAACACAAGTGAACAAAAAGGATAGAGACTCAAAGACAAAATAAGAGACATGCACTGAGATGTCTTTGAGATTCTGTATGAGGTGAGAAAAAAAGCCCCAAAAAAGTTTTAATCGCTGGAGGGTTGATTAAAATAAACTGGAATGTCTCAAAACAGTTAATCCTGAACAGGATGTGGTTTTAGCTCTTCAAACACTGGGTTTCCTCTGCAGCTGCAAATGAAAAAAAAAACAGGTTTTACAGCACACCTTAAAAGATTAATCTAATTGTATCAAAATAGGTCGGTTTTGGACAGAAACTTTATGCAGCAGTTTTTACTGAACAGAGTAACATTTGCAAAATCTTATTCCAAGGCATTAGTTGAATGTACATACACAGCAACAGGACATTCAGCTCATCTGATCAACGGTAGTATATGGTATGTTGCTTTTATTAGCCGAGGCTTAGAGTTTAAGATTAGGGAGATTATGCTGGAACTGCATAAATTGTTGGTTAGGCCACAGATAGCATGTTGTGTGCAATTCTGGAATCTACATTATAGAAGGGATGTGATTGCACTGGAGAACGTGCAGAGGAGGTTTGCCAGGATGTTGCCCGGACTGAAGAGTTTTAGTTATGGAAAGAGATTGGACCCACTAAGGTTGTTTTCCTTGGAACAGAGGAGGCTGAGGGGGACATTATTGAGTTGTATAAAGTTATGAGGGGTGTAGACAGGAAGCAACTTTTCCCATTGACGGAGGGATCAATGACTGGGTGTATAGATTTATGATAAGGGGCAGATTTAGAGGGGATATGATGAAAAAGATTTTCACTTAGAGGGTAGTGGGAACCTGGAACTCACTGCCAGTAAGGGTGGTAAAGGCAGAAACATTGAAGAAGTATTTAGATATACACTTGAATTCCAAGACATGGAAAGTGATTAGAATAGTTAGATGGTTAGTTTTGACTGGTGTGGATTCAGTGGGCTGAAGGGCCTTTTTCTATGCAGTAGACCCCTATGACTCCATTTGAAATACTGTTCTTTACTGGGTTGGAGACAGATGCATTAGGGATGTTCTAAGTAAAGCTGAGTAGGAATGTAGAAGAGTCAGACTACTAAGAAAGAAATAACCTGCATTTATGTAACACTTTTCACAATCTTAAGACATTAGAATGGATTTTACAGTCAATGAAATACCTTTGAAATATATTCATTGGTGTACTGTAGGGAAATACATGCATGTATATCTACATATTGGGCTGATAAGTGGCAAGTAAAGTCTACATAACACAGCGGCCAGTCACTAACCAGATCCAACAAGAGAGAATCCACATATTGCCCTTTGGCATTCACCAGCATCGTCATTGCTGAATCACCCCACTATGAATATCCTGGGAGTTCCCATTGACCAGAAGCTGAACTGGACCAGTCATATAAATACTGTGAATAGATGAGTTGGTCTGAGGCTGGGATCTCTCAAGGTGAGTAAATTACAAATTTCTCAAAGCTTGCCTCCATCAACAAGGTATGAATCAGGAGTGTCATAGAATACTGTCTTCCTTGTATGAGGTCAGCTCCTACAATACTCAAAATGTTTGATGCCATTCAGGACAAAGCAGCCTATTTAATTGGCACCACCATCCACCACCTACAGCATTCACTCCCTCCTCCACAAGGTTCCTCTGACAGCAACTTCCAGACGTACAAACTCTACCACTTAGAATTTTCAAGGGCAGCAAATGTATTGGAGCACCACCACAGCAAGTTACCCTCCAAGCCACACCTTCGTAACTTGGAATCATTATCTCTGTTCTTTCACTGTCACTGGAGCAAAGTCCTGCCAGCTCTGTGGGTGAACTGACACATAGACTCCAGCTGTTCACGGAAACAATTCACCACCACCTTCTCAAGGGCTGTTAGGAATGGGTAATGAATGCTGGCCCAGCCCTGACACCCAGTCTCATGAATTTAAACGAAATGAAAGTACAATTCCTACTGCGATAATTCATGCACTAAATCTTCTGTTTCCTGTCACTCACATTCAATCAAAAGCAATGACTATGCAAGGCATAGAAAACAGTAAGGATGAGAAAAGTAATATTTAACCAGGCTTTCTGGCTCCAGGCAATGTAATTTGACTTCTAAACTCCACTCCATATTAAGCTACATGTAACTGTTAACTCAAATCAAAGCAAAAATACTGCAGATTGTGGAAATTGAAATAGTTCTGAAGAAGTCTTATCAGACTCATAATCTTAATGCTGTTTCTGTCTCCACAAATGCTACCAGACCTGCAAAGTTTCTCCAGCATTCTCTGTGTTTGTAGCTACTAGCCTACTTTGCTTGGGTCTTATATTCATTTAAACAACCGAAGAAAGAAAGACTTCCATTTCTACATTGCCTTTCACAATCATAAGATGTCCCAGAGCATTTTAGGACAAATTTCATATTCTCTGAAGGCTCACCACCGTTTTAAATGAGAAAAAGGACAACTTTCCATACATGCAGTTCCCACAACAGTGAGTTAATGACCAGTTTTGAAGATATTGATCAAGGACGAAGTATTTTCCAAAACACCGGGGAGATTTCCCCAGCTCTATTTTAAAGGAAGCTAAGATATTTTAACAACCACCCGATAGGACAGATAGGGGCTGTTCCAAAAGATGACGTGTGACAATGCAACTCTGTCTCAGACAATCTTTCAGTTGACAGACTGAGACCTGGCAAAGTGATGGGACTTTATAATATTCTCCTCTTGATGTGCATGTTAGCGTTGGGCCTGAATTCTTGCTCAATTGGGAAAATTCTTGTCTTCACAACGTGACTGAGGAGAAAGTGCCCTGCATGGTCTAGCTTTCACTCTGGTGAAGGAGGGGTGTGATTTTAATAGGAGTTCAGGCCCACTAATCCTGAAAAGAGTTTGGATGAGGAACAAGATCTGTATAAAAGGCCAGCCTTAGTGATACGGGACTTTGTTGTAGCTGTTTAAAAAAAAATTTAAAACAAGAAAATCTTGCTAGTCCACAACACTCACATCCCCTCGCTAGAAGGTGTGGATGGGATGCAGGTCTGGCTTTATCTGTGGAGAGAGTAGGAGTTAATTTCTTAGGTCAATACTCCTTACATCAGGTCAGGAGTAGGCAATGGCTTAGTGGTATTATCACTAGACTATTAATCCAGAAACGCAGCTAATGTTCTGGGGATCTGGGCTCAAATCCCACCACGGCAGATGGTAGAATTTGAAATCAGTAAAGAATCTGGAATTAAGAGTCTAATGATAACCATGAATCAATTACCGATTGTCAGGAAAAACCCATCTGGTTCGCTAATGCCCTTTAAGGAAGGAAATTTGTCATCCTTACCTGATCTGGGTGGGCAATTAGGGATGGACAATAAATGCTTGCCTAGCCAGAAACATCCATATCCCGCCAGTGAGTAATAAAAACGATTAGAACTGAACTGCACCATTTACAGGAAGGGTGATGAAAGGTGTAAACCCGAAACGTCGACTTTCCTGCTCCTCTGTTGCTGCCTGATCTGCTGTGTTCATCTAGCTCTACCTGTGTTGACTCTGACTCCAGCATCTGTAGTTCTTGTTATTGAGCCCTGATGAAGGGTGTAAACCTGAAATTTCGACTTTCCTGCTCCTCTGATGCTGCCTGACCTGCTGTGTTCCTTCAGTTCCACACTATATTGACTCTGACTCTGAGATCTCCCCTCATTCAGACGAACGAGGTGGGATCTCATAGGCACTTATAAAACTCTAACAGGAATGGACAGGGTAGATGCAGAGAGGATGCTCCCGATGATGGGTGTGTCCAGAACCAGGGGTCACAGTATGAGGATCCGGGGTAGACAATTTGGAATGGAGATGAGATATTTCTTCACCCAAAGAGTGGTGGGCCTGTGGAATTCATTATCACGGGACGTAGTTGATGCCAAAACATCGAATGTATTCAAGAGGCGACTAGATAAAGCACTTGAGGCGAAAGGGGAGAAAGCAGGATTAGGCTATTGAGTTAGACAATCAGAAACGATCGTGAAGAATGGTGGAGCAGGCTTGAAGGGCCAAATGGCCTCCTCCTGCTCCTATCTTCTATGTTTCTATGTTTCTTTCCAGCATCTGCAGTTCCAGCATTTCCAGCATTTTGTTTCAAATTTCCAGAACGTGCAATATTTTGTTTTTGTAAAAGCCTCAATATTTAGATGAACAAATCACCTATTGTGTCG